ATGTGTACTTGTCTGAAGGTTTCCCAGCATCGTTGGTGGGTTGGCGGTTGGTCCCGCTGGTTCAACGCATTCGTGCTGCCGATTTACAAGTGGCTTCAGCTGCTGTGGCATCTGCAAGCGAGATGTCTCCCTTGGCCATAATCTTGCTCTGGACGGTTGGGTCTCTGAGGCCAAGGACGATGCGATCTCTCATGGCTTCTTCGAGGTTGGCGAAGCCACACAAACCACCCAGGTTCCTCAGGTCTGCCACAAAATCCCCAACGCTCTCACCTTCATGTTGGTCCCTCTGGTAGAACTCATGCCTGCGAATGAGAGTTGGCACGGCTGGGGCGTAATGGTTGCGCAGGATGGGAGCAAGGGTGTCCCAATCCATGGTTTTAACTTCAGCTGGCTTGGCTAAGGCTTTAGCCATCTTAAAAACGGCTGGTCCACAATGGGTTAGAAAAACGGCTCGTTTCTTGCTGGGCGTGGCATCTTTGAGGTTGTTGGACTCCAGGAACATTTGAAATCTGTCCATGTATGAGTCCCAATCTTCGCTAGCTGGATCGAATGGTGCGGGTGGTATAGCGCTGCTGGCCATGTCGCCGTCATTGTGCTCTGTCAGCCACGTGCTCCTTCGGCTAGCTCAATTCAATAGCTTCTGTTGCCTCCGCATCCCATCCTCATCACCAGTGTTAAGTCTGGGAGGACGGTTCAAGAACGGAGGCAAGACTCAGACAGTAACTAAAGCTCCTTATTTGTGACTTCAGATCTGAGCAACTAACCCCAGCCGCAGCAGCCCCTTATATAGGGCTGGCTGCGGCTAGGCAGCCAATGAAGGCGATTTGAGTTTGCCGCTCTTGGCAGGGCCAATCGCGGCAGCCTGTTTACTGGCCAATCGCATCAGTCTATGGCGACCAATCACGATCAGCTTTCAGCAGGCCAATCAGATTTGCAGGCTACGAGCCTGCTAATCCGGAACGGGGGGCACAGCACTCAACATCCTCATGCTCTGTTTTGGAGCCTCCTGGGCCTCAGGGAAGCCTCCTGGGCAAAGGAGTAAGACAGCAGGAGGATCCTGGCACAGCTGATCATCGGAACAGCTGATCGTCAGGAGGAGAAAAAAAGAAATATCTTAAGGAGTGACTTGGGCAGGGAAGAATGCAGTCAGCGATGTCAGGCACATGTGTGATAAGGACTGACTGGGCAGGGGAGGAGTCCAGCCAGGGGCATAATTTGCCAGTTCTCTGAACTGCCCAGAATCATAACATCCAGTTCTGTAGAACTGGCCTGAACCAGTAGAATCCCACCCCTGCATATTGACAAACAACACAAGTAAAGCATGTGAAATTCTACCAAAAGCAAAATTTTCACCACATGTTAATGCCATTCAGGTGATATAGTTATAATATATTTTCTCATCTGGGAATGAATTCAGTAAAGCTGGCTTTTGAGCAATTATAGAGAAAATTATAAAACCATGCTTGTCAGTTACAATCTGCAATCTTAAGCATTCTTGGAGATAAAGGAAAACAATAACCCATTAATTTCTTAGCCACTTTACTATGTGGTAGTTGTTGTTTTAAAAAAACCTAAATTTAGGTATATTTAGGAGCTTCAGTGAAGAACCAAAGAAGCTTCTCAGATGAGAAGCGAAATGTCCTAAGAAAAAAAAGAGAATGTCCAGTTGCTTTTTGAAAAGCACGTTTGTGGTATTCATGTATTAATTAATTTTACTTTTAATCAGTGTAAAATACAACACCCAAAAGGCATTCATTTCCATATATTATTCTACAAAGTCTTGTATGTTTATTGAGTAACATAGTTTGAAAATTTTAAATGTGATTACACCTGTAATGCCCACCCATTTTCTATTCTCTTATGATAAGACATCTGAAGATACTGCAGCAATTGCCATTTGCAAACATTTGCATCAATACCAATATCCAGTTAAAATAACATTTTGCTGCTTTGAGTATGTTTTGAGTTTGAAAGATCCATCAGATATAGAGATAAGTAAAAACTCATAATCTAACACATCAGGGTTCCCAGAAATTGAAGAATATGGGAGTGTTATATTTTTCAGATCACAATCAAAGTATGAAGAAAAATCATTTCACTGGGTGACACAGCATGGGTACGAAGGAGTATGCACAGAATCCCGTGTTCCTGATATGACAAATTGTTCATAGAGACACTTAAAATATTACTTTAAAAACTAAAAAATATATCTATAAATGTTTTAACTGAATGGGCTTCTGGAATCAGGTACCTCAAATTGTCATACTTCCTAGTGATGGGAGTGTTCTCAACAACTCTTCATTTTGTATGGTTTTTCAGCCTCTGAACTCATGACAGGTTTACTTTGGAGAACGGTATTAAAGTTACAAAGTTTAGAAGAATGCTCAATTGACATTTGGAAAACCGCAAAACAAAAGATATTGCATGGGTACTCTTTAGGGACATAAATTTCTCTCACACTGGAATCAATGGGTGGAAATGAAGTGATATGGTCAAATTAAAGTTGTATCTCTCTTGTTCAGCTGGTGTGAATAAATAAAAGATTAGAAACTGTGGTTCTTCCAACTCAGCTTCTCCTAACCCCGAGGCATACTCCATTAATGACTTGCAGTGACTTTAAAGGTGGCAATTTTGATATAGCAGCAGTATATTGATTGGAGCACATGAAAAAGTTGCTTTTAAATAGAGGATAATGATTTGTTGAGTGGTACAGAAAGAACTGGAGTTTAGACTTGATTGAAAAGTAATTGACTCAATAAGACTGGACAAACACAACCAAATTTATTTATTTTATATACTTATTTATTCATTTATTTTGGTGATGGTTAGTTAAACAAAATATAATGTTTGGTTAAGTTGACACAATGTTCTTAAAAAGATTTAATTTGGGTATGACTTTTGCATCAGCTGTTAATTCTCTTAAATTGTATTGGTTTGGTATAAGCATTTTGTTATTTTTCTTGCATGTATGATGTTCCTTGCAGCTTGCTATTTTATTTGGTTACTGCTTTGTAGAAGGAAAAACTCTTAAACATGAAGGTCATTGGAGAGAGATGTGGAATGAGACTTCATTTCAGGGTCGGGCTGCTACCGGTTCTCCCCGGTTCAGGCAAACCATTACCTAATTTTATAATTTTTAATGAATGGTTTGGCAAACTGGCAAATCCCATCCCTGGCTGGCCCCACCCACCCTGCCCTTCTCTTCCCAGGAATCTTTACACAGCCTAATTTCAGGGCCGACGTGGAGGCATGGGGAGGGCGAAAAACAGGCCTCCCGGAACTTCTAGAAGGCTGGAAACAGAGCCTCCAGGCCACTGGAGCCCAGGGAGGCCAAAAATTGGGCTTCCCAGAAGTTCTGTAAGGCCGGAAACTGGCCTATTTCCATCCTCCAGAGGGCCTCTGGAGCCCAGGCCGGCCATTTTCACCCTCCCAAAAGCTGGAGGAAAGCCTCCGGAGCCTGGGGAGGGCAAAAATGCCCCTCCACCATGGTGCAGGAGGCCCACTAGGCCACGCCCACCCAGCAACCAGGCAGAGAACCGGTTGCTAAAATTTTTGAAGCCCACCCCTGCTTCAGTTGATAACTTTCCAAAATCCTGGTAAGAATTCAGAGATATAGTCAGCTGAAGCAGCAGTGTTTCAGGCAAGACTTGCCAAATTTAGATGGTCTTGGATTTCACTGAAGCATAAGTATCAAGGATGGTTATAAACTGGTAGAGAATTATTGTCTAATGAAAGACTGGATATTTAGCTGCACTGCTTGGATGCTCAGGTGAGTACAAGACCATAGTATTTCAGCAATGAGGATTACACTCCATTCCCCACAAAAGTAAAAGCACTTTTTTGTTGTTCCTGAGGCAAAAGTAGTATCTCTCCATAACTGAGGGGGAAAATAATTGTATTACTACCACCAATAATAATAGAAATTGAGATTGACAAAGTCAATTGCAAAAAGTAGCTTTACTTCAAACAGTTTACATGTGTGATAATACGTTTAATACAATCAAATAACAATATCTGCCTAACCTAGGTCCTTCAGAAGGATTAGACTTGTGCTCTAAAACCAACGATAAATATTTAATTTTTACCACATTTGCTTGATATTTAAAGCCACACTTTTATTGTTGCCTTTATTTGATGCATTCATTTTGACATGATTTTTAACAATTGATCTTACACTTTTCATGCTTCTCTCAGTAAATGATAAGGAATAAGGCTATGCCTGCATGCCTCACATTTGGATTTTTTTCTTGCCCTAACGGACTTTTCTCTTGTACATTTTCAGTGCAATTCATTTTATATATTTCATGACACAAATTTAACTGCACACTATCTAGACTACTTAACAGAAAATTGTTTCAATTGAGTAAGAAAGTAAATACATACAGTACATACCAAATGTATCTCTTATTGTCATATTCATTAACATGAAATCCTTTCAAAGTATAGTTCCCAATTTCCCAGACCAGATCCATCCCAGCAATGGATTCCAGCTGAGTTACATTTTATCTTCACTCAGTCTATTGTCTTAAGAACAAGATGCAAGATGCAATTTTTTAACAATCATTTGAGCAAAATGTGATACAAAGCACAACTCTCTAATAAACTCTAATTTGATTTAATGATACACATACAAGTCCAAGACAATGCAAGCTCCCAAATTTTAAATATAAATAGTTGAGGAAAGTGGAGGACTTAGTTGTGCATAATACTTTTGTTTCTATTCCTCAACCCAGTTTCATTGCTCTCTCTCATCGTTCTGAAAATATGTGGGCATTTTCCAGGCAGCCTGCTGAGTCGTTGCTAACTACCACTAACATCACTTCAACCTTGAAATGATTACATATGTAGTTTGATAAGCTTGGACAGAAACAAACATTCATGTACCAGGTATTGTTCAAAATATATTCCTTGTGACTAGTGAAGCCAAATGCTCTGCAGCACTAGAACAGACATCAATTTATGAGCCAATTGCCTTTCTGCAATAGCTTCTTTAGAGGCATTCAATATTTTCCTGAGAAATCACATGACTCTCTCAGGCTACAGCAGCACATAATCTCTCTGAAGGTTTTCCTCAGCTCTTGGCTTCGGAAAGCATAGATAAGCGGATCGATGATGGAATTACACATGATTAGAATGAGGTACAGGTGAAAATGAGACATAAAACAGATACAGTAAGGATTATGAGGGCATGAAATGTAGAAAAGCAGGTGGAGGAAGAGTGGGGCCCAGCACACTACAAAGACTCCAATCAAGATGGTCAGAGTAATGGCGCCCTTCATATTGGCCCCTTGGCGGATTGGGCCAGTGCCTGGGAGTATTGCAATCTTTTTCATGTGCAGCCGGGCTAGCATGAACATGTGGACATAGAGAGATGCCATGAGGACTAACATGGTGAAGAACATGGTGATGAGGCAAATGATGACAACACTGCTGTCAGAATAAATAATGAACAGGACACCTGAAACTATGCAAGCAGCCCAGATGCAGGTGATGATGATACCGACACGCCTCCCTGTCATGATGTTGTGGTACTGGAGAGCATAGAAGATTGTGAAATACCTGTCCACAGCTATAGAAAGCAGACTGCAAATGGAGGCCAGGAGAGAGCTGCAAATCACCGAGTCAATGATATTGTCAATGCTAACGGTAAAACTGTGTGTGTCGACCTCTGTATTGTTTAGCCAGGTGATGACGATGGTTTCTGATCCATTGGAAATGCTCACCAGCAGGTCGGCCACTGCTAAGCTGCAAATGAAGAAGTACATCGGGGAGTGCAAATTCTTGTTCTTGGCTATAGCTGCGATCACCAGCACGTTCTCGAGCAAACTGACAAAGCCTAAGGTCACAAATACTTCCGGCGAGACAAAAAGTTGCTCATAACACCCTTCTGAAGAGTAGCCTTTTTCCATTGATCTATTCAGATCACTGTGATGTAGTCCATGGCTGTGGTTCCAGGCATGAAGAGGTCGATGAACTCCATAGCGGTAAGTGAAATTCATTCTTACAAAGTCTCCATCCACAAGCACATCAGGCTTGGCCAACTTGCAGCTTTCAGATTATTTCCACACATTCAAGTGTCACTCTTGGAATGACACCCTGGGATTTTCAATGGCTAGGGATTTCTAAATGCCATTCCAAGGAGCAGCAAGGTGCAAGTCAGAAAAAAAATAAGTTTGATATGCAAACAAAAAATCAGTCAGGTCTCCGGCAATTAATGCTTTGCCAACTCCACAAGTACCTGTATTCACTGGAATGAATACAGCTGAAGGTGGCTTTCTTCTTATCTTATCTCCTGGAGCCTCAATCTGTAAAACTAAAGCATCAGAAATGAAATGCTGTTGCTGCTGCTGCTGTTGCTGCTTGGGATTTTTAAAACAATTGTTTCAGAACACAAATACTACTCAGCTCTCTATGCAATGCTTGCCCTCCTGCCTGCTTTCTGCCGCTTCTTTATATGGAAATGGGATAGAAAGGTACTTAGAGGCAGCTCTTCCCCACCCCTTCAGTTTAGCGATCAGCCAATAGAGAGGAAGGGAAGAGGGAGTGCGGGAGGCACTGAATTCACTTCAGTTTTCTACATGTCTTGCAGGAGGGCTTCCAAGACGATGCAGTTCCTGAATGATACAAAGGAGTCCAAATCAGCACAAGCTGGCGGGTTCCTTTTGCTTGTTTAGATGTTGTGATTGACGATGGTGAGAATAATCAGAATCCCTGCTAGCCTGTCAGCAGGATGAGTGGGATGTAGAAAAAAAAACAACAACCTGTTTTACAGCAATGGAAAGAACAATAAAGTTTCTGTGAAGATAGTAAGCAATCATGAAGGGAAAAATCGTGGGTGGAATCAGCCAACCAGTCAAGGAAGGAACAGAGGTATAATATTGTCTTTGCATCCTCATCAGACCAAGTTCAGTGTTTGTGGATTGCAGTCATACATAAGTTATTTTTCAAACTGTAACCTGCAAGCGAAAATTTGAAACCAAGAAAAGCATGCTTCAGAATGAGAGGGAATGAGGCAAACTGTAAAACAATCAATGCTATCATTTGAAATGAATGTGGCCCCTAATTATTATTCTATTTCTCTTGAATAAATATTTAACTCCTTAATGTGTGTTTCTTTCTTTTTCTCCTAATGGAGAAAATTAATCTGTCTAATGGAATGAGAATAAAATACTTCATTATAAATTTTATTCACATGAAAAAGGCATTGGTTTCAATTGTCCGGGAGGCGGGGGCATTGAAATACATTAATATTTTAGTTATCTAAATGGAAGACTAGTTTCTCTCTCTCCAAACCATTTATCTTTAAATTACACATGTCAGAGGGAAAGAATTATTTTAAACTTTGCAAGAATATGATAACAGAGGGTGATTTTTTTATTGGTGATGTTTCTTTGAAGGAGACTGGGGATTTCCTAAACTCATAAATGAAACTGCTGTGAACATTGATGCCATTTCTTTTATATTTTATTCCCTTCTGAGATCTATTTCTATGTTTCTAAATACAAACAGACATGAAGAGAATCATGTAACAATGACACGTTAACCCTAAATGTCATCAAATTACAATTGATATAGATTTGTTTCTATATAACAGATGTGATGTGGTATGAAGAAATAAATGTTTGTAACCTTAGAGTGGGAGAAATTCACTAAATTTGTTTACATTTGTTGTGATGGTTAGAAGTCCCTTCCTTCCTTCCTTCCTTCCTTCCTTCCTTCCTTCCTTCCTTCCTTCCTTCCTTCCTT